CCTCTGCTTTGCCTTGTCCTAAGGGCAGACACACAGTATCACAATATATAATTACAGCCATTCAAAGAGCCAGCAGACTGACAGACCTAAGAAGGCTATGGATACTTTGTATCCTTCTGCTCTGCTAATGATATAATTGTATGTCTCACTTTGCATATTTTCATCACCTGTAATATCTGTGTGAGTTTGTAACAATGCCAAGAATCTGGAGAGCTGAATGCATGCCTTAATGTTGCAGGCTAACTGGTGCTGGATCATAATTCCCATTAAATCAAGAAAGGCCCAGAGTGAAATAACAGCAATAACACAATTAGCAGGACTGCCTACCTCATTTACAAATGACACTAGATGCATGGGAAAACTATTACTGGAACTGCCTAAGAATCATTATAAAGCATATTGTAATCACTTGTAATGAAAGTATATCTGCTTCTAAACTGTGTATAGTCATTTCTGTGTGGTATAGGGTATGGTGTGATCCTTTGTGTTGTCTATAGTTCATGAGGTAGGTGAGAATAATCTAGAACAGTTTTATATGATACCAAGGAGTTGGCTTTTGTCACAGATAAACCTGTTATAGGAAAGGAGAGTTTGTAAATAAGGTATTAAGCTGTCATTAATAAGAGTTATTGTAGGGATTTGGTTAGGGTTACAGGAAGGGTTAGTGTGAGTGTTGGGGTTACAGGAAGGGTTAGTGTGAGTGTTAGGGTTACAGGAAGGGTTAATGTGAGTGTTGGGGTTACAGGAAGGGTTAATGTGAGTGTTGGGGTTACAGGAAGGGTTAGTGTGAGTATTGGGGTTACAGGAAGGGTTAGTGTGAGCGCTGAGGTTACAGGAAGGGTTAGTGTGAGTGATGGGGTTACAGGAAGGGTTAGTGTGAGTGTTGGGATTACAGGAAGGGTTAGTGTGAGTGTTGGGGTTACAGGAAGGATTAGTGTGAGTGTTGGGATTACAGGAAGGGTTAGTGTGAGTGCTGGGGTTACAGGAAGGGTTAGTGTGATTGTTGGGGTTACAGGAAGGATTAGTGTGAGTGTTGGGATTACAGGAAGGATTAGTGTGAGTGATGGGGTTACAGGAAGGGTTAGTGTGAGTGTTAGGGTTACAGGAAGAGTTAGTGTGAATGTTGGGGTTACAGGAAGGATTAGTGTGAGTGTTGGGGTTACAGGAAGGGTTAGTGTGAGTGCTGGCTGGGTTACAGGAAGGGTTAGTGTGAGTGTTGGGGTTACAGGAAGGATTAGTGTGAGTGATGGGGTTACAGGAAGGGTTAGTGTGAGTGTTGGGGTTACAGGAAGGGTTAGTGTGAGTGATGGGGTTACAGGAAGGGTTAGTGTGAGTGTTGGGGTTACAGGAAGGATTAGTGTGAGTGATGGGGTTACAGGAAGGGTTAGTGTGAGTGTTGGGGTTACAGGAAGGGTTAGTGTGAGTGCTAGGATTACAGGAAGGGTTAGTGTGAGTGTTAGGGTTACAGGAAGGGTTAGTGTGAGTGTTGGGGTTACAGGAAGGGTTAGTGTGAGTGCTGGGGTTACAAGAAGGATTAGTGTGAGTGTTGGGGTTACAGGAAGGATTAGTGTGAGTGTTGGGGTTACAGGAAGGATTAGTGTGAGTGTTGGGGTTACAGGAAGGATTAGTGTGAGTGATGGGGTTACAGGAAGGATTAGTGTGAGTGATGGGGTTACAGGAAGTGTTAGTGTGAGTGTTGGGGTTATAGTATGGGTTAGTGTGACTACTGGGTTTATAGTATGGGTTAGTGTGACTACTGCTGTTATAGTAAAGGTTAATGTGAGTTCTGGGGTTACAGTCAGGGTTAATGTGAGTATTGAGGTTACAATAAGGGGTAGTAGGAGCATTAATATATGGCAAGGGTTAATGTGAGTGTGGAGGTTACAATACAGGTTAATGTGAGTATTGGGGTTATGGCGAAGGCTAGTGTGAGTGTTGAAGTTAAATGTTAGTGTTATGGTGAGGGTGAGGTTTAGTGTTAGGGTTACCCTACAATTACAGGTAGGGGTAATATGAGGGTCAGTGTGAGTGTTGAAGTTACAGGGTGTATATGGTTAAGGTTGTGATTGCAGAGAGGGTTTGTGAGAGGTTTATGACTACAATTACAGAGAGGGGTAATATAGGGGTTAGTACAAGTGTTACAGCAAGTTTTTGGGGGTTACATTTATTTTGAGGTTTGGTGTGAGAGTTTGTGTTACAGGTACATCAACCTTTAAGGTTGCAGGCAGAGTTATTGTTAGTGTATGGGTTACAGGGAGAGTTAAGCTGTCCATAGATGAATCGAAGTTCAGCAGGGACCAGGCAAATTTTGATTCATCTATGGCTGTTCCCAGCAACAGAAGCCAATCTGACAATTGACTTTTGATGAACAGGATATTGGAAAATTTCCATTTGATCAGCGGGCTGCAGCCAATCGGGTGCAGCGCTGATCAGTGTATTCTGGCAGCAGAGGAGTCCCCTCTGTCAGAATACAATAGCAAATCGGAAAGGGTACCTCCATCTACCTCGCTTGTTTTGATGGGGGAATCCATATGTTTTGGGGGTTTTTTTCAATCAGCCCTCTTCTTGAGCAACCCATCTATGGCCAGCTTTAGTGTTAAAGTTACATTTATAAAGCGGTTTACTGTGTTACAGTTAATGGGATACTGAGCAGTGTTATGTTCTCATTACAGTACATTAGAGTTTTACCATTAGCATTACTGAAATGACCAGGAAAATGTTATGTGAAATGCTGGGTATGGACAGAATTTGAAACAGTTGTGTGATTTTCACTGGTAATAAATATTGAATAAACTCCAATCTAGTTGACAAATAAACGGTTTGCCAAAGGTATATATCCCTAGATTTACAAACATACATTGCAAAGATTTTAGCTAATATTAGTGCAGCCATATACTTACCTACTCTGTGGATACTGATACCTGATTTCCAATCACTTCTTCTCTCATGAGAGCTAAGTGGGAGAGTCTGTCTGCCATCATCACATGATCGGTCCAAGTGTTGTGTTAAGAGAGAATTTGAGGAAAGCAGCAAGCCATACACACGAGTAGGAAAATACAAATCGGGAGCATTCTGTAAGCAAACCTTGTAGAGAAGTTGCCGTTGCCGTTGCTACAAGCAACATTTTCAGTATTACCTGACTGCAGACAGAGAGATCATTTTTAACATTAAATTACAAAATGGATTGTGTAGTTATATGAAGTTATGAAGTATATATATTTCATTTTATTGTCCACTATATTGCCAAACGTTTTGGGACAGCCCTCCAAATCATTGAATTCAGGTGTTCCAATCATCTCCATGACCAAAGGTGTATAAAATCAAGCACCTAGGCATGCAGACTGCTTCTACAAACTTTTGTGAAAGAATGGTTCGCTGTCAGGAGCTCAATGAATTCAAGCGTGGTCCCGTGATAGGTTGCCACCTGTACAATAAGTCCATCTGTGAAATTTCCTTGCTACTAAATATTCTATGGTCAACTGTTGGTAGTATTATGACAAAATGGAAGCAACTGGGAACAACAGCAACTCAGCCACGAAGTGGTAGGCCACGTAAAATGACAGAGCGGGGTCAGAGTTTGCTGAAGCGCACATTGCGCAGAAGTTGCCAACTGTCTGCAGAGTCAATAGCTAAAGACCTCCAAACGTCGTGTGGCCTTCAGATTAGCACAACAGTGCATAGAGAACTTCATGGAATGGGTTTCCATGGCCGAGCAGCTGCATCTAAGCCTTACATCACCAAGTGCAATGCAAAATGTCAGATGCAGTGGTGTGAAGCACGCCGCCACTGGACTCTAGAGCAGTGGAGACGTGTTCTCTGGAGTGATGAGTCATGCTTCTCTGTCTGGCTATCCGATGGATGTGTCTGGGTTTGGCAGTTGCCAGGAGAACAGTACTTGCCTGACTGAATTGTGCCAAGTGTAAACTTTGGTGGAGGGGGGATTATGGTGTGGGGTTGTCTTTCAGGGGTTGGGCTTGGCCCTTTAGTTCCAGTGAAGGGAACTCTTAAGGCGTCAGCATACCAAGACATTTTGGACAATTTCATGCTCCCAACATTGTGTGAACAGTTTGGGGATGGCCCCTTCCTGTTCCAACACGACTGCACACCAGTGCACAAAGCAAAGTCCATAAAGACATGGATGAGCGAGTTTGGGGTGCAGGAACTTGACTGACCTGCACAGAGCCCTGAGCTCAACCCAGTAGAACACCTTTGGGATGAATTAGAATGGAGACTGCGAGCCAGGCATTCTCGTCCAAGATCAGTGCCTGACCTCACAAATGCACTTTATCAAAAACCTTGTGCATCTGTACACTTAGGTTCAAAAATATACAGAAATTGATAGTAGTATTGCTATTTTACAATCTAGCTTTAATAAAAAAAAAATTCAAAGTTAATTAATGAATGTATGCAGATTCAGGTAACTGGTTTAGGAATTACAGCATTAATGATATGTATTCTTCCTCAAGGGAATCACAATAATTGGACAATTAAAAAAATCTATTGAACAGGAATATATTACCATTACAAAAATCTGTTGAAATCTGTTTTTTGGGAAGTGTGCTAGTTTAATATATATTCCCTACAGGTGCACATAAGAAAGATATATATTATTAGATAAAGAGAGAATTGTCAGTCTGTCACCCCCTTGAAATGTTGCTGCGTTAGGCTCATTGCTATAAGGTCTGTCCAAAGATCCTGGAAGAGTGTCAGGTCTCCCTGTTGGCAGCATTCTCTTATACTCCCAGCAGGATGTAACATAAAAGAAATTATTTTTCTGAGGTCTTCTCCTTGTACAAAAGATCAGAAAATCTTGTATGTGTATAGCGTGATCTATGATCATTTTCAAAGAGCTTCAAGCTGTACCTTTGTGAATACCAATGTTTTGTTTGCCTGTTAAAGTACTGGAACCGAATATAACATCTCATTTATTCCTTCAATAACAATCCATCAATGCTGAAGAAGATGGTATAGTCGTATAATTTTCAGTTTGTTTATTACAGGGGAGCCGTGGTGAATTGCTGCTGTCCCTTTGCTACAATCCCTCAGCGAATTCTATCATTGTCAACATCATCAAGGCGCGGAATCTAAAAGCCATGGACATCGGGGGAACATCAGGTCTGTACGAAGGGAGAGCAAAAGTCTTCTTTATTTATTTATTTGCATGTGCCATGGGAAATGTCAAATAGTTATATTTTCTACAACACCAACGTGCTATCACTTTACTAAGTTATCAAACCTATACTAGTTAAATGCGCAGTTAAACAGCATATGATATGTGAAGTCTTTTCTTTCCAAAAGATTTTTCAAGAAAACCTATTCTGAGAGAAATATCATGGTTATCTTTTAACTGCAATATTATTACAGGCATATATAAGGCACTGACAATTTATGCACTGCTTTACATACCGTACAGTCCCTGCCATCAAGGAGTAGAGATGGAGACATTGGAAACATTTGTTTAGTTTCAGTTTCATTCTTCATCAGTACGTTATTTCTTTTCATCATATTCGCTATGTTAGAATGATTCGTTTTTGGAACGTTTTCCTTATTTCAGTAGAGTATATGGTCATGGAATTAATTCGCACATTCAGAGGTTATGTTATTTTTTCGCTATTTCAGAAAATTGTCTATATTCGTTTTAATGTTAATTCATTATTTTGGGATATTGCTTATGCACTCTGAGACATCCCTGCTAGTCCAACCCAAAAAGAAAAATGGAATGAGCTGACTTTCACAGATACCTGTCTTACCTGGCTAATTATACATTACCTCCCGTTTTGTATCTAGTTCCAGGTTATGGGATGTCTGTAATATTTCATTTAGCTGTACCAGCAGTATTTAAAATATATTTTATATATATTTTAATTTGACTAGATTTGCACTTTAAATACAGCATTTATTGTCACATTGATTACTATGAATTTTTATTCTGGTCCATTAGGTCATTTTAAACACTAATATCAAGTAGAAGTAGCAGTGAAAAAGCCCCAATGGGTTTATATGGTCATTCTTGCATTTTAATTCAGCATGGTCCTTGTGATTAGTGGTGTGGTACAGGTGTGTCCTTTGACTAAATACTCTGATATATGTCTGAAATCTTAATCCATATTGGCACTGCAAGAAGGTGAGTGTAGTTAACTTCTGACGCAGTGCTAGTGCATTCATTATGCCACCCATATGAGGGTACAGCTTGAGATAGGTTTTTAAGCTTCTATCCTGGAATTAGAAATCAACGCTTATGGAGAACCAATAGCATAGCTCCCAACTGCCCCTCATTTGGAGGGACTGACCATCTGTGTAGGGGGTTCTTTACTATTATAGTGGTAAGGATGTGGAACTCCCTTGCACAATTGGTGGTGTCAGCGGAGAGTCTTGATAATTAGTGTTGAGCTAGATGTTCAAGTCGACCATTAGTTACTTACACGAACAGTAAAGGTGTTCGGCAGGCTGTTTGCCCGCTGTGCCCCACAATGCACTGTGCCCTGACAGTGCATTGTGATCGGCCAAAGCAATGCACCTGACCCCAGGTCAGGTGCAATGCTTTGACCAATCACAGAGCATGATGATGTCACACAGTATTTAAGAATTGTCATCCCGGCGTAGCTGTCAGATGGCGGTAGCCAGCATCGAGAGCGGTGTTTTTTTTCTCTTTTCGGGTCGGCGTTGGCAGCGGGCATTGTGACTGGCATTGGATCTACTTTGGGGGACTTTATTTTACTTTTGTTTTTAATAAAGGACTTGTCAAAACTGTCTACGACTGTCATTTTTTATTATTATTATTATACAAGATTTATATAGCGCCAACAGTTTGCTCAGCGCTTTACAATATAACGGGAGACAATACAGCAACAATACAGTTCAATACAAGAGGGTTAGGAGGGCCCTGCTCCTTGGAGCTTACAATCTAAGAGATTTTGTAATAAAAATAAAAGGAAAAGGGTAGCGCTCATTAAACAAACATGTTGCTGTGACAATAATACATAAACCAAAAAGAAATGTGCAAATTAATAATTGGATATTATTCATAAAATGTCCAAATGATCAAAATTACAAATATTCAATGAATAAATCAATTATTATTATTATTATACAGTATTTATAAAGCGCCAATAGTTCACTCAGCGCTGTACATTACAAAGGGGGACAGAACATGTGACAGAACAATACCAATAACTCATATATTCATTGACTTAAACCCAAAACCCACAGTTACAGTGAAAAATCAAGTCCCAAAGGAATTACCCAAAAAAATTATTATGCAAAAATAAAAACAATCTCAAAAAAATAAAAAAATACACACAAATAAAATAAAGTCCCAATACACAAAGTGTCCAAATAATATGTCCAAACTAAGATCAATTCTTGATAGGAAGACGCTTCCTACTCCACTGAAGAAGATGCAAATCAATCACAGGTGCTCTTCAAATACCTCAAAAAACAAAATCTAAACATAGTATATTACCTTTTAAATACCAGAACTAAAGTGCCACACGTGTACCATGCAAGAAAGAACAATACCAATACAATGCAAAACATGAGGGGATTGAGGGCCCTGGTCTTTCAAGCTTACAATCTAGGAGATTAGAATCTAGGAAATCAATAAAAATTTCTCTAATGTTCTTCAAATCCAAAACTTCATAATTGCTGAAAATCCACCACCAACATATGTGCAAGACTCCATCACTAATAGAATTAAATAAATTAACCAGAGCAAATTACTAGTAAAATTATGAACCAGCAAATTGCATGTTGGCTCTGAGAGCAATGGTCTGCAGACCGATCACCGGCAACAGAAGATGTTTCTTATAATATACGAATCTTCATATAGCATATACGCTCAAAGAGAAGAGAACAGAGCAAGAAATAGTGTGATACTGTATAGCAGGTTTTCATTAAAAGCTTCTTTATCCGAACAATTTCACATTTTCAAGTGCCATCAGCTGACACTTGCAGAAACTGCAAATATACATAAAGCCGCTGAAAAAGCCGGAGACGCCGGCAGCTTACGGAACGTGTTGACGTCATTATTTTTGTATTTTATTTTTGTTTGGCGCTGTTTCTACTTATATATTATTGCACTTAGAGATTTTTTACACTAAACTTTTTTTATTGAGTAGCAGTACTTATTCACATGGGGAGGCGGGATTGGGGTGCCGCTCGTCTCCTCCCTTTCCTGACCTGCCAAACTGCATGCTTGGATAAGGGTCTGCTATGGATTTGAGGGGAGGGCATGCCATTTTTTTTTATGGGTGTGGGGGTTCCTCTCAAAATCCATACCAGACCCTTAGAGCTTGGTATGCATGGGAAGGGGGACCCCACGCAGTTTTTAAAAAATGTTTTTAATTGGCAGGCAATGCCGGCACATCTTTTCACATTCAGCTGTCAGTGGGGAACCCCACTGACAGCTAAAACATTAAAGAATGTTTTTAGTAGCTTTGTGATATCTTACCACATATTTAGATGCGGTAAGATACTGCTTAGTGAATTGTCCCCTCTGAAGTTTGCCATCGAACTTTTGTTATGTTCGAATGTTTGACCGTGAACTGAACAAGGGGGTGTTCAGCCCATCACTATTGATACTTTCAAAAAACCTTTAGATGGCCATCTTAGTGAACACAATATACAGGAATATGGTAAGTGGTGGAGACATAAATGCATACACATGCACACACAGGTTGAACTGGATGAAGACTGGTATCTTTTTATTCAAGATTTATATTGTTATAAGTTTGTACAGTGCTTTACAACATAAAGGAAACAGTACAGTTTTACAATACAATACAATACACAAGGGTTAGGAGGGCCCTACTCAGGAACACTTACAATTTAATAGGCATATTAAATCTTTGTGGCCCATGTAACCAGGACCATGGCAGGGATGTGTCCTTTGCCTACATACTTTGTGCTAAAAGATGTCCTTTTTTATATTTTCAGAAAGTTGGGAGGTATGCAACGGTACACAAAAGTGGCAACCACCCCAACCTATAACTAGCCTTTGCAGTAAGGTGCACATGGAAGGGCAACGCACATCAGAAGCATAGATTTCCCAGCACACTTACCAGTTCGAGCACACTTACCAGCTAGTCTGCAAAAGAAAACCTCCAAACTGACCCTGTCTAACAATTCACATTAAAAACAGAGTTTTGTTTGCACACATTTGCAAATATATGTGTAATCTGCAGTGAATATGCCAAGGCTTCTCTGCATACTGCGGTCATAACTCTATAATTTCCAAGTTGGAGCACATATAGCAGTGGATATATCAAGGTCAGGATTGCCTGGAGGGAGTCCTTAAAGTCACAGGGATGTATGGGACACCCAACAAGAGCACAATGGCACCTAAAGACATCCAGTGCATCTCCACATCAAATTTAACCAGCTGTACAAAAAAAGAGGAAACCACCCCAACCTATAACTAGCCTTTGCAGTAAGTGCACATGGAAGGGCAAAGAGATAGGAGGGTCCTACTCTGGAGGCCTTACAATCTAATAGGCATATTAGATCTCTGTGGTCCATGTAACCAGGACTGTGGCAGGGATGTGTCATTTGCCCACATACTTTGTACCAAAAAGTGTCCTTTTTTATAATTTCAGAAAGTTGGGGAGGTATGCAATAGTAGCAATCATTCCAGCTGCATCAACGTACCCTGCATGAAGTCATGGTACAGCCACCCCCCTTTCTTTCTTATCTTCCATACCTATGAGCCCTATAACATCCAGAGAGACTGCTGTAGCTATTGATATGTCCTTGCCTTTGCTCTGGAGATGTATTGTGTTATTTATGTAGTGCCAACAAATTGTGCAGCACTTTACAAAGTACTTAGAGCTTTCACACCAGTCCCTATGAATTCTAACAACCTGAAAAGCACAAATTCTTGAGCTATCTAAGATAAAATCAGATTGAAATGAGTTTCTAACTATTAGTGCATTTTGTGGGCCGTGGGGGAAACAGGAATATGTGTAAGAAGATCACATAAACAAAGGGAAATTATTTTCCCTGGGGGGGAACTGAAACTATAACCACAGCAAGGCCATCCAGTTATTCAACATACTGCCGTTTTCAGTAATAAAAATGTCCCTTTTAGTCAATACTATTCAACTGCACAATAAACGCCC